GATCCAGAAATCAGAGACAGAACAAATTGACTTTCAAATTGACACTGCAATTCCACATATATTTGTGGAATTAGTTATTATTTTAAATTATTTTAACGTCATCCTCACAAAAAATGTATGTGAGACATAACCATCATGTAGAGATGTTTATTAAATATTATCTCTATAAATCTTTCTATTTTCAGAAAATTGTGATAGGCATTTTGCTTTATGGTTTGAGTGTGATTTAAAAAGAAAGAGTCCAACTGACACTGAGAATCAGGAATGTGTTATTTTCCTTTCTTATAGCTCTTTAACTGGCAATAGTAAAATTTCCAAAGTCACAAAGCCAGCTAGAGGAGCCAGACAACTGACATTTCTGACTTAGTTTCATGCTTCTTCAAGTATAACCTATTTGTAGAAATATGAAACATCTTTCATCTCAAAACAAGTTGCTTATAAAATAAAATATTTGTTTGGGATATTCTTAATGTGATAAATGCCTGCATTTAAAAAGAATTTTCCCTGAAAAGTAAAAAATCAGGTAGAATTTAGTAATGTATATGTTAACTGATTTTATGCTATTTAGCACCATTTCCAGTCTGTTCAAGAACTATTATTGCCCCAGATCTCAGTTTTATTGTTAAAAAACTTTTTAAAATTTCATTTACACTTCTCACTGGTACTTCTGATCTCTTTCTTGAAAGAAATTTAAGAAGCAGAAGCCTACAATGGAACTTTGAGTGATGAGCCCATTATTCTAAAATCCTTATACAGTAGTTTAAATAATAATTTTTGTTAGTGAAATCTTCTGAGTGCGGAGACTATGCCATGTTTGCCACTAGCAAAATGCCTAATATAGAGCTAATATTATATCTTTGTGAATGAATGAAACACCTTCATGAATGTGGTAAGCAGAAGTGACAAGCACATACTAATATCCTTGTTACATTGATCTAGAAAACAGGACCTAAAGAAGAAAAGTTGTTTTCCCAAGTTTAGATACTCACAGAACTATATTATGAACTCTCATACTACATTTCTGATATGTTCAGTAATGTTTTAAAACATTAATAATTGGACTAATATAAGGAAAAGGTACCAATGATCCTTGACATTTATTTCAGTAGAGTTAAAATTTTCTCTTTACTAAACATTAATTTTGCTTTCATTCCCAAACCACTATACATGTGTTGATAGAAAACTTTGACTGCAAATAATCAAAAAAATTTTTTCATGATAGTAGACAATTTTACTACTGGAATTTGTTCTTTAATTCTGAACATTTAAAAACACAAATAAGGAAAAACTGTTATAACTACTTGTGAATATATATACTGCTTGATCATTGTATACATAAGCCATTTTTATCAGACATAAAAGGGTGTCAAAGAGTAAAATTGGTCAGTGTGTATACATATGCATAATTATTGCATGCCATGAATTATTAGAGAGGTCATTTGCCCTTAAATTACATAGATGTTGGTATGATACTCGACCATGCACACTACTTAGGCTCTCTGTTTTAACAGTTTCATCTGGAAAAAAACCAATATTCACTTTGTAGGTTTACTATAAGATTTCACAAGAAAACTGGTAAGGTGGCTGACATATATTAGTTAGCAAATAATAGTTATCATGATACTGCTTTCTAAATATTTTTTAAAATTATTTATTACACATGTCTTGTTCTTTCATTTCAAGAATCTGGAATTTCTTTCATTTAATTTCAAGAATCTGGATTTTTTTCATTTCATTTCAAGAATCTGGAATTATGGCAGAATGATATAAAATAAAATGTTAAAATAAAATAGAAAAAAAGATATTCCATAGGGAAAGGCAATCTTACTGGAGACTTCTAAGTAAGAACCACTCTAATTAATGTCTGATGTTATAGAATATTATGCATTATATGCCAAAAACAGTAACAACAACTCTCACACTGGAGACATTACTGATGCCCGCTGGAGCAAATCAATGAACAATGGGAGGACAGTACTACAGTGCTTTAATTATTTTCAGCCATAATGTTTCTACAAAAATAGTAGTGTAGAACTGTAAAGACATAATAAGAGTGGGAAAAAAGGGAACAAGTCTAAGTTGTATTCAAAATATATCACTATGAATTTGAATGCTGTAGCACTGTAGCATGGTCATCTCGTTGTTCATGGATTTGCTTGAGCGGGCATCAGTAACGTCTCCATTTGTCCCTTTTGCATACTAGTGTAGCCCAATGGCATATGCTTGCTCCAGGAACATGGAGTGAGACTTGTTACTGTTTTCGGCATATTGAATATGCCACAGGTAGCTTGCCAGGCTCTGCCATGTGGGTGGGATACTCACTTTAGCTCTGAGAGGGATGGAGGAATCGAACCTGGGTTGACTGCATTCAAGGCAAATGCCCTACCTGCTGTGCTATCACTCCAGCCTTTGAATGCTGTATTAAAATATAACTCTTCTTCAAGATCTAATTATAGAACAAAAATCAACCCTTCATTGGATTTTAATATAACTTTATAGTATATATTTTGTTTTATATTTACATCAACATCATACTTTGAAAGGCCACAAGTTATTTATTAAATTTATGGTTTTCACATGGTTCTTTCAATATTGTCAATTTAGTATGATGTCATGTGCTTTTTGGGAATCAAGGGCCTTATTCCAAGAACTAGAACTCATGAAAAAAGGACAACAGCTGGAAAAGGATGGATGGTGGGGGGAAGCGGAAGAATGAACTCTTCCCAATCTTAGAGCTTTTGACTGGAAGAATCTGAAGTTGCTGGGAAATCCAACCAGTGCTGTAGGAACACCGGAAAGCTCATATAGAGGTCCAGGGGAAGGTCCACGGAAAACCACAGTTATAATTTAGAAGATTCATCAACCAAGTTGTCAAAGGAAACTGAATGCTAGTTTAAAAGTGTACTTTCCATGTGTTTAGAGACTCCTGTGTCACAGAAACAAAATTTTACAAAGGGAGAGGACACTCATTGGAATTTGTCGAGTGTAAGAATCTCAATGAATTAAGAGACAGGTTCAAAGATTCTTGTTCAAGGAAGAAACAAAGGTGAGATATAAAACAGATCAAGAGGAGGCTTGGTAGACGTTTTGTTCCTCAAGAAAGCAGGTGCTTAGTTCTGAGACTTGATCTTAAGGAACACCCATAAATGGAGAAAAGGTTAAGTTGGGCAACTGCCAACTCAAGCCATGCAAAACTTCCAGGCAGTTATTGCCCAGTGATGCTAACATTGCTCCAGTGAGATACCAGGAGAATTATTTGGAGATAAGAGAGAAGATCATCTAAAACTGTCTAATCAGATCCTCAGGCACTTGGGTGTTATTCAGCTTGTATAGGATGTGCCTACCATAGTGAATCCTCATGTCTCCAGTTTTGTTGAGTGGAACAAGGAGACACAGAAAGAATGGAATAAATTTCCAAGATCACTAAACTGTTGATGTCAAGATCAAAATTAGAAATTTGTTTTCCTGACTATAGCATTTGTTCTGTCAATTGCACTGTTGAATGTAATTAAAAGTTGTCTACTGGCAAAAGGTAAGAGTAAATGCAATATTGGCAAGAAAATTAGAAGATATCTAAATATTAGTGCCAAGATTCAAGTGGTCCCAAGTTGTAATTGTATAAAATAGAAAAAGCTGACTGACATGGGAACTTTACCCAGTCTACTGTCAGTGTTCCTGGAACTAATAATTACTTACACTCTTTTAATAAAAATAGAATATCTAAGTGTTCTCTATGCTTAGGGCTTGTTTAAAGTTATGCTGCTATATTATGACAAAATTAGAACAATATTTTAGGATTTGAGTTTTCTTTTTCTGAGACAATGTAATACATAAAATAACATAAATCATACACTTAAACCATGGAAAATATTTGAAAAAGATGTTGAAACTACAGCTTAAGTTCCACAAACATGGTCCACTATCTGTTTTCCACCCATGATTCATTATATAGGTAAAAGTTAAAGTCTCAGAATAAGGGGGAGGAAGCAAATATCAACCTTAAATAACTTCTTTGATGAAGACACAGTGAAATTCATTTCTCAGAGAAAAACTGAAATCATATCTATAGAAGGGTCTCTTTATGAAAGTTTCTAGAGAGTGCTGGAGAAGAGTATCAGAGGAAAAAGAAGCCATAAAATGTGTCTGATGTTTTGAGGTGAACCATTAAATATGATCATTTTGATTGTATACTTTAGACAAGTACTCAAATTATGATTATTCTTCACAGAAATCAATCATTTGGTTTTTATAGGTTGTTACAATAGTGCACAGGTAAAATAGTCATTTTTAATCTATAGAATGTATTCATACCCATGAAAGGAAAAATATTTCGCATTACAATAATTGAATTAGTGCACATTAATATTTCCACAGTTAAAAACTTGAGACCAAAAATGTAAATTTGTTCTTAAACAGAACCCAATTGCATATTTTAGATGAACGCTAATACTTTTTAATAGAAAAGTAGCTTAAAATACTGAAGAATGAACATAGTTCAAAGCAAATCCAATTTGATTCTAATATCATTCTTGTGTATTTGAGTTTTATAAGAAGACTAAAGGGTAATCTAGAATTTAGTTGATTTAGGTCTGTTGCTTAAACTTTAATTTTAATAGAAGAGAAAAACACTACAACTTATGTTTTTAAAACACCACTTATGTTAAATGTCTATCAGTAAACATGTTTAATAAAACCAAGATTAAGATTATCAATATAAATATGAAATTATAATTTTTAAGTTTCTTTTCTTTTTGTCTTGAAATAAAAATTGAGAAAAAAACAAGATAATAAACATAAGATGTTTGAGAAAACAATGAACCCCAACCTAAGTTTGCATTACAAATATATCTTCATAAATTTTCTACTCACATTAAAGTGGAAAATATTATCCCTGAAATTTATAACTTTAACAAAATAATGCCAATGTTTGAAAAGAAAATATAAGAAGTAATTAAAAGCAAAAAGAAAACTCAAACCATCAGCTTTTATATTTAACTTACCTTGTGAAAATCAGAAGGCTCTAACTTGAGAGTTCTGTCTGTGCAGTTTCTCCCAAACAGCCCTGATGGTGAGTTTTCTCTCTGAGTTTTTATAGTCTCAGTTATACACCCCTTACTCCAATCCCTGCCTTTGCTTTCTCTTACATCATTTCTACAGATTTTCCACTGAACATTTCCCCAAGCTTCTCTTCAATCTCTCTCTCTCTCTCTCTCTCTCTCTCTGTCTCCCTCTTCCTCTCCCTCCCTCTCTCTCTCTCCTCCCTCTCCTTCTCCCTCTCCCTCTTCCTCCCTCTTCTGTTTTTTCTTTCCATATTTATTCTATCTATTGCTTTGATCATGGCATTTAAATAGCAACAGGAACTCAGACTCTGGAAAATTTAAGTATACATTTACTTTAAGTTCAGATTTAGACCCATCACCTCCTTCTGAGGTTTTTGTTCAACTTTGATTATTCCAAATCATATATAGGAAATAAAATTTGTCAAAGAAAAAGCCACCAGTGTATTTTAAAATGATAATAATAATAAGGAGAGCAACATCATAAATTCAGACTGATCTGCAATTATACATTTGAATCCTTAAATTATCAGATATAGAAATAGTGAATAATTTCAGTCTCAGTCAGGTGCATGAGCCTGTGTCAGTGAACTGACAGCTACTTCGTAATTAACATCGCTATACTGGGAAGGCTGTCACTAACAAATCTATAAATACTGAAATGTGACAAGTGGGCTATAAATGCAGACGTTGTAATCATTCTTATCTTGCTCTTGTTCTCTAGTGTTTTCATTTCCTTTAAGCAAAACATTCACAGAGACGCATTTTTGAAAGTCCAGAAGTCCTAAAGACAGCATGTTATATTGTTTGTTTCATTATTCGTTCATTTAATTCACCAGTGGCTCCCCATTTCACAGTAAAGGATACTGAGTTAAATAAGTGACCCGAAGAGATCACATATCCGGGAAGCCAGATTTCAAATACAGATCTTAATTCCGCATCTATTTCTTTTCCCACAATTTCATTTTTTTCTTACTATTAAAAAAGTTAAAAAGAGAAAATCCAAAACATATTATGTTTTTGCGCAAATAGAAATAAATGTGTCCTTTCTGGTTTTACTTCGAAAGCCATTTAAAATACTACTCACTATTGTAGGAACTATTACATGGCTAATTTGGATCTAGCAGGGGCAACTGACCAGAGCACGCTGAATTGGTGGGATAGTAAAATGCTTCATTTTTATGAATAGTTTCCAGGGATAACATATGTCTCAACAGGCTTGAAATTTGAGTAGCTGGCAGTGATAGTTCACAAGTCAAGATAAAAATACAGCCTATTTGTAGACCTTTGTTTAGACATTACTGCCATAAAACGATTATGTTAGCTTGAATTCACATGATGAAAACTCTCAATATAGATTTAACGGATGCATCATAATGCTTCTAGGAGCCAATATTCTTGACGTACCTTCTACCCTTATTTGAAATGCCTCCCTCAGCATGCTGACAAGTGATATCTGTGGCTGATTTATTCCAGATCTGTCCCTGCTTAGACAGTCCAAAGATTCCACCCTATTTGTGGATTTTGTTGACCTAATTCAAAAGTTTGACTTAACTGTTCTGCAGCAGTAGAAATAGCAACTGGAATAGTTTATTACAGGAACATAACTATGGTACATAAGCAAATTATACAAACTTCTATATATTATATATTCCTATTTAAGTTGCTTATGCATTTATACCAGATAGAAAAAAATTGTTAGCTCAAAAGAGTATGAATGGGAGCACTGAATAAACAAGGACAAAATAAAGATCTAGTATTTAATAAGAAAACATTAAAATGTGAAAGGAAGAAAATATTCATTAAATCTCAGTAGCATAGCATTAATTTCCATAACAATTATGCCTAGATGGTATAATTAAGTTACATATAACATTTAAAAAACCCTAACGCTCATACTGGTCAAGTGAATAACCCCAATCCTCACAGCTGAAATGTGATGACGCTGAGTTGAACCTTGCTATATTGCCTCAGTCAGAATTTTGGCAAACAAATATGGCACATGTAAATTGAGCAATTTGAGGATGATTTAATGTGGGCAGTATGAGAAGAGCCAGATTGATAGTGTTGAACAATGAACCAACAATAGCTAGATATTCCTAATCCTGATTGTCATAGATGATTATAGGTACAGAAACAAATTGATGGACCAGGTTGATGGTGTTGAACAATGTACCACTAGACATCCCTAATCCTGACCAGTCAAAGAGGATTATAGGAACAGAAACATACTGGATACTGGTAGAACAAAGAAGCCTGGCATACTAGTGAGTTATACCTGGGGCTAAGAAAAATATACAGATGGGATAACAGAAAATAAATAGAAATTTTACTTTCCTTCCTGGACACAGTTTCTTGTCACATTTTCTTCAGTCAAACTGAATAGAAAAGGAATTGAGATAGAAAGGGGTGATATGGAAAACCTAGTACATTGTTTTACCTAGAAATTGTGCATAGAAAATACAAATGGGTATCACCTTTCAGTCTATCCTTATCTCAAACTTCCTTACATTTTTGCTTACAAAGGCAGATTTACTGAGTTACTGTTATGCACAAGATCTACTCTTTTAAAGTAAACCATTTGACATATTTTGACACTTGTAGACAACATATATCTTTTATTACAGTCATTATACAGAACGTATGTAAAACCTTTTCTCCCCCAAATTTTCCTCACATCCCTTTATAGCCAATCCACTGCATCCCATTTCTTAGTAACCATACATCTGATTGGTTCTGTCCCTATAATTTTACCTTTTTTTGTTTTTAATTTCGGAAGGCTACAGGAAACTATACAATATCTGGCCTTTGGTGGCTGGCTTCTTTCAGTTAAAATAATACTTCTGAGATTTGTCCTCGGGTTAAATGCATCAGTACTTTTTAATAATAACCATATTCACAATAATAATGGATGTAGCATGATTTACTTATTTATTTATAAACTGATAAAAATTTGTATTGTTTCCAGTTGTGTGGATTATTAATAAATAGTTACTGATATGCTTATCTTTTAAGAATATGTTTTCACTTCTCCTGGGAAACTGCATTGATACAGGATTCTTAGATCATTAGTAAGTATATTTTTAAATCTATATGAAATTAACAAATTGATTTCCCAAGTGGATCTGTGACTTTTTATTTTCATCATGTTATTCAGCATCCTTGTTAGCATTTGATATTTATTACTATTTAAACTACTAATCCAATACATATATTGGTATTACTGTACTTTTATTTGGATTTTCAAAATGACTAATAATGTGGAGTATATTTTCATGTACTTATTTCTCATCCAGGTAATCTTCCTTAATGAAGGACACATTCAAATACTCCGCTTAATATTCCTTTGATATAGACTTACTTTCCTAACTGTATAAAGAAGTGCTGGAGATGTGGCTCCCTGGCAAATGGGATGACTTGTTTACATGAGACCTGGATTCAGTTCATAGAACTGCAAAAATATATAAAGAACCCTTAAGGAATCAATAAATTCAAAACACAAAATTGCTATTAAAAATGGATAGGGGATATGAAAAGACAGTTTTATAAAGATATCCATTGGACAAGGGATATAGGAAAAATAAAACTCATTATCACTAATATAATTCTAGTGGAATTATAGATAAAAATATTACAATAGAGGGATGCATAATTATAGATCAAAACTAAGATTGGGAAGAGATGTGGCAAAATAATCTTATTTCTATATTAGACTCTATATTAGAACAGGCAATAACTAATAGCAACCTAGTATAAAGGTTTCTCCAATAATTGAAAGTAAAAAAACCATGTGATCTAGTTATTCAACTTCAGAGTATCCACAGTAATGCAAGCACTAACTCTAAAGATGTATGTACCTTATTTGCATTGTAACATTATTTATAATGGCTAAAATATGAAAGAATGTCAGTGGGAATTAATAAATAAATAAATAAAAAAGCAAGAATAAAGAAGATATGACATCAAAAGATATTAATTTAAACATAATTTTCTCTGTTTAATGAGATTGTATTACTTTTAATTTAGTGATAAAGTGAATTATATTTGGCTTCCTGAGATTAAAATCCCACTTGACCATAAAATATGATAATATACTATCATATTTGATGGATTGATTAATAGAAATTTTTATTTATTAAAAATGTTATTTTTTGGTGCTATGGTTATGTGGGTTTTAACATACTCATTAAAATAAGTAAATAATTATATATTGTTTCAGAGTGATTTAGGCTGCTATAAAAAACACATTTGGCTTTGTGGCTCAAAGAATAGATATTAATTTCTCATATTTTGAAGATGAGAAGACCAATAAGGTCTATAAATGTATGTGTGGGCCCCTCTTTGCTTTATAAACAGTAGTTTCTTGCTGTATCTTTTTATCACAAAAAGAGAGAAGTAGCTCTTCGCAGTCTCTTTCACAAAGATTCTAATTACATTCATGAAAGTTGCAACCTTATAACCTAATTTTATCCTAAGGAAATGCCCTTCTTTGCCATTAAATTTGGGTTTGAGCTTCAACATGTGAATGGGAGAGTGAGTATAGTAAACACAGTCTATTATAATCTTAATTTTTGAAAGGCTTTATATGAAATTTTTATTGTTTCTTCCAAAAATGGTTCATAGAATTTTCAAGTATAATAATTGATGACATTAAATGTCTTTAAGGGAAAATTTTTTGTTTGATATTTGAAGTATCTTTGATAATATTCTCTGCTTCATTATTAATTCTGGTATTCTTTTCAGTTAAGATTTTTTTCTTGGTCCAGAATTTAATCAGTTTCTTTATTCGAAGAATCAGTATTTGCTTTCTGTGATTTTCTTAACTACATTCCTCATTATATCAATGTATTTCTACTGTGTTACTTTTCCTTCTTTTTAACTGGTTTGTGCTTAATTTTCTCATTTTAACATGATTCATAGATTATTTATTGTAGAAATTTCTTCTTTTCAATTGTAGTCATTGAGTGCTTTAAATTTTCCTTTAAGTACTGCCATAGTTATATCCTAAGTACTTTGATGTGCTATTTTTATTTTTTATTTGAATAAGAATATTTTCAGGGCAGGAGAGTTGGTATAGGAATTAAAGTGCTAGCCTTTTATTGGCCAACTGCAGTTCAATTCCTTGCACCTCATATGGTCTCC